GGAAATCACTCTTAAAAGGATTTTACACTACCCTGAAAGGAGCCCTCCACCCTTTCCTATGTGATAGATAGGTGACAAAAACCTGATTGGATGACAGGATCAGGGAGGATTAATCAGATTAAAACAGCCAGCTAACAAGCCCATTAAAAATCCCTAAACTTAGAAACTCCTGTGGCAACCCTCTATGGTTCCTTCTCTCTTTGGGAGCTTTGTACTATCACTCGATAACCTTTGCTTTACTATCATTCAATAAACCTTGCTTTGCTGCCCATCACTCTATCTGGTCTACCTCTTCATTCTTCAAAGTGGTGTGACCAAGAACTGTGGGCACCAGCAGAGAAAAAAATCCTGTAACAAAAGGTTTCAACATCATTAGTATTCAGGGAAATGCAAATTAAAAACGCAATGAGATACCACTATATGCACACTAGAATGGCTGTGATAAAAAAGATAGAAAATACCAAGTGTTGGCAAGGACATGGAGAAATTGGAACCCTTATACATTGCTGGTAGGAATATAAAATCTTTCAGTCACTTTGGGAAACAGTTTGACAGTTTCTTAAAAAGTTAAACATAGACTTACCATTCAACCCAGTAATTCTACTCTAGGTTTCTATTGATGAGGAATGAATATGTATGTTCATCCTAACATCTGCACATGAATGTTCATGTCACGGTTGTTCATAATAGCCCCAAACTGGAAGCAATCCAAATGTCCATCAACTTGTGAATGGATAAACCAAATGTGATATATTTACATAATGGAAGACTATTCAGCAATAAAAATGAACTTCTGCTCCATACTACACGAGTGAAACTTAAACATGTTTTCATTAAGTGGAAGAAGCCAAACACAAAAGACTACATAATTTTTTATTCCATTTATATGTAATTTTCAGAAATTGCAAACCTATAGAGGCCAAAAGCAAATCAGTGGTTGCCTGAGGCTGGAGGTGGGAGTGGGAATTCACTGGACATGAGCCTAAGGGAATGTTGAAATGTTTTAGATCTGAATCTTGGTAATGGTTGTATAAGTCTCTACATTTACTAAAAAAAAAAATCATTGAATTATATACTTTAGAGTGGTAAATTTTATAGTATATAAATTACACCTACATAAATCTGTTAAAAAATATATATATAGTATTAGTCAGGGTTTAATGAGGGAAGCAGAACCAGTGGATTATATATGTCCCCTGTATTTATCCATATGTATGTATGTGTGTGTATATATATATATATATACATACGAATTTATTACAAGGAATTAGCTTATGCAATTGTGGGAACAGGTTAAGCAAGTCCAAGATCTATAGGGTTGGCTGTCAGAAAGGGAAGATCCAGAGAGGAGAGAACAATTATAAAGCTAGCTGCTGTTTAGAGTCTGATTCAGTGCATGCCTAAACCTTCTCTTTAAAAGAATTTCCACTGATTGAGTCAGCCTCACCCAGATACTCTCCCTAGTTTAACATCAATATACTAGGGATTTGAACTGCATTTGTAAAATCTCTTCATCGCAGCACCAGATTAGTGTTTGATTGAATAACTGGGAGAGGTTGTGGGTATGATACTAAAGACTGCTGTCTTCCTTTAAGTCCACAGCTTATAACTTAGCTTAAGCAAATGCCAAAAAATCATCATGTACTTATACCGGTATTTTCTTTCTACAGAAAGACGGCTTACTTTTACAAGCCATGAGGATGTTTAACTTGTTCATGCACTCACCCAAATGATGCTTTTAGAGGCCCTATTGTGTGCCAGACACAGGAGTGTGGACTGTACTCTAATTAATAGAAAATTCTTTATACATGGTGACTGGCACTCTATGTCAAATATGCTCAAATATTTGTTGAATGACTATGCCACCAGACTTACTCATCCCCCAATTTTATTTATGCACATGATATTTGTGTAGGCTATCATCCTTCAGATGGAGTATCCAGTGTGCAGCCTCAGATAGCAAAGTTTCACATTTCTATCTCCAAGCATACTCGAAAAACTTACACACCTTACCTTTTTTGCCAAGGATTTCCTGAAGGAAAAGTGCTGTATAAACAAATACCAATATAGAAACAAGATAAATTTTATTGCTGGTTATTTACAGGGACGTCACTATGGGAACATTTGAAGACTTCATCTTCCTCTGAGAGCGTTTACATAAGTCTGTTTTTCAACACATCCAAATTTCCAGTCTTGCAGGTTTCCACAGCTTGAAGATCCTGATTCCCTGGACCCCTTCCAAGGGAAGGCAGTTAGGTAAAAAAAAAAAAAAAAAAAATCTCATTCTCCAACTCTCTATTCATAAACAATTAGTAATGAACTGAGCAATGAATTACTGTGACAGGTAATCCAATCTGTCGCAGCTCAGCAACTGCCTCTCCAGGCAACTTCTACCCGGTCTCTCCAGCAGCGACCGCGACAGTTTCCATGGCGACAACTTTGTTTGTACATGGCAGGCGGACTGCCCAGCTCATCAGGAGCGGTGGGGTTCCCGAGGTTTCACCCTTCGTCTCGCCTCTTCCTTTCGCCAGAGGAGAAGCTAACTGAACGTTTCCCTCTCGTCTGCGCAGCCGGGAGGTAGTGAAAAACAATCAGATAGGTACTTCCTTGCCTTCAGTTTTCTCTTCACCCTTTCCCAGGACCGGAGATCTCTAACTGGGTGCCAGCAGAATACTGTCTTTTTCAAGGCAGGAATCTCCAAATTCTGCGGGAATCCGCGGCAAGTGCAGTTGGTATCACGGTTAACTGTTCAACATTTACAGGACATTTTAGATTTTCTATGCAAATGTATGCCTATTTTTGCTTGATCATCGTATCACTTCCTAGGATGGTAGCAAGACTAAGATACAACATTGGTGTGTTTAAAGATTTTAATGATGTCAAACATCAGCTTTTTTTGGGAGAGCAATTATACCTCAGCAACTGGATTTTGTTGTTGTGGTGGTGGTGGTGGTGGTGGTTTGCATTTTAGGGGAAAATTTGAACCCAGAATTTTAGAACCGTAGGGGTATTTAGAGAGCATCTAATCCAGTTCCTTAATTTCATCTATGGGAAAACTGAAACCCTAACTGGGAAGTGACTGGTTTCATTTCTTCATAGCAAGTGGGATGTAGAGCTATAAAGGAATCCCTGCCCATTTACCTCAACTGTCATTCTTTAGACTAATACCATACTTGGGAGGAAGATCTCAAAATGTCTGGAAGTTTTGGAATTGATAGCTAAGATATGTTATGAATATATGGAGGCTAACATTTACAATAATGGCTTAATGGGCTTTTTCTCCTCAGAGTATAAAGTATTCTAATCTTCAGGAGACCAAGATGTCAGATCCAAACAAAGCTGCAATTACAGCAGAAAAGGAGGCTCTGAACTTGAAGTTACCTCCTATTGTGCACCCCCCTGAAGACATAGGTGTTGACACACCAGCACAAAGTAAATTGTTGAATTACAGAAGATCTAAGCAGCAGCAGAAGATGATTAATCAGTTAGTGTAAGTACCATATTGGTAAATAATTCTTTTCTGGAGTTCAAGTGAAATGATTAGTGTTCATATTCTCATAAAACAGCTTTAACTATGTAGGTTGTTTATGGGCAAAATATCATCTTCAAGTTCAATTAGGGAAACAAAAAAGTAATCACAATAGTAAGTGTTATATACCACTATATATGTTATATGTCACTTAATGTATAGTTATGTCACTTATATCTATAGTTAGTATGGGGCTTATGCTAATCACTGCTTACTCTAAGAATTGTTTTTAGCACTTCACCTGTACTTCTCACAGCTACCCTATGTGATGGGTACTATTCTTATCTCTATTAATATTTATACTAGTTCTTCAAGGCTGAGTTTATGGATCACCTCCTCTGGAAAGCCTTCTCCTAATCTCCCCCCCCCCTTTTTAAAGATTTTATTTATTTATGGGGCGCCTGGGTGGCTCAGTTGTTAAGTGTCTGCCTTCGGCTCAGGTCATGATCCCAGGGTCCTGGGATCAACTCCACATCGTACTCCCTGCTCAGCGGAGAGCCTGCTTCTCCCTCTCCCACTCCCCCTGCTTGTGTTCCCTCTCTTGCTGTCTCTCTCTCTAATAAATAAAATCTTTATAAAAAAAGATTTTGTTTATTTGCGAGAGACAGTACAAGCTGGGGAGAGAGGAAGAAGCAGACTCCCCACTGAGCAGGGAGCCTGATGTGGGGCTGGATCCCAGGACCCTGGGATTATGACCTGAACTGAAGGCAGATGCTTAACCGACTGAGCCACCCAGGAGCTCCTAATCCCCTTTGTGCATCTTCTTCTTTTTCTACATATTTCTCATACATCAGTTTATTTAGCGATATTACCTACCAACTGTTACACAGACATTGTGCTTGTTACTAGGGAGACCAAAGAGATTACAACAGAGGGGATTGTGTCTTTATACTCTAGTGGGAGGAGACAGACAGTAAACATTTAAAAACAGACAAACAAAAAGAGTATGTTAACCTTTTAAGTAGTGATGGATACTATGAAGATATAAGATTGTGGGATAGAGAGTGATAGGGAAGGTATCCCTGGGAACATCAGAGGAAAGTCCTGTGGAGATGATATTTAAATAGAGTTCTAAAAAGCAAGGAGCTGGGGCACCTGAGTGACTCAGTCGTCAAGTGTCTGCCTTTGGCTCAGGTCATGATCCCAGAGCCCTGGGATCGAGCCCTGGGATTGGGTCCTGGGATTGATCAGGTCACTGGGATCCCTACTCAGTGGGAAGCCTGCTTCTCCCTCTCCCTCTGCCACTCCCCCTACTTGTGCTCTCTGTCTCAAATAAATAAATAAAATCTTACAAACTGAGGGTTGCTGGAATGGAGGGGGGTGGGAGGGATGGGGTGGCTGGGTGATGGACATTGGGGAGGGTATGTGTAGTGGTGTGCACTGTGTACTCTGTAAGACTGATGAATTACAGACCTGCCCTGAAACAAATAATACATTATATGTTAATTTAAAAAAAATCTTAAATAAAGTGTAAGAAGCTTCTCATTAAAAAAAAAAAGAAGGTTTTCATTTAAATAAACGGAATAGCACTCTAGCAAAGGGGATAGCAAGTGTTGAAAGCTCTGGAATATGAATGTTTTCTTGTGGTCTGGGAGCTGGCAAAGGCCAGTGTCATTAGAGTATCAGAAACTTGGGGGAGAGTGGTGGTATCAGGTGAAGGTGGAAAGAAAGGTGGGGGCAGAGTGTGAAAGGCTTTGTAAGCCATACTAATAAATTCAGATTCCATTTTAAATTCAGTGGGAGCCATTGAAATGTTTTAAACTGGGACATGACATGAAAATCAATTTACATTTAAAAATATCAGTCTGGCTATTAAGAACAGACTGAGGTGGAAGGGAAGCGGACAAGAGTAGAGGGAAAAAAGGAGACCAGGTAGACTGCTTTTGTAGTGACACAGATGAAAGCTTTTGGTGGTTTGGATAAGGCTGAAGACAGTGGAGGAGGAGAGAAATGTATTTATAGGGGATAGGTTTGGATTCAGAATCAGTAGGACTTGCTTTGGTAACAAAGTGGTTGGTAGTGTCTATATTTATAGAGAATCAGAAGTCCAGAAGATCGGGGAGGTAAATTTTGAAGTTGAGGTGCTTATGTGACATCTAAACATATGAGGGAATATGTTAAGTAGGCAGCTGGATATATATGTGTATATATGTATATTTGTATGTATATATGAGAAGAGGTCTAGGCTAAAGATAAAAATTTGGGAGTCAGCAGATTGTAGATGATTGTTAAGGCTATGAGGAATAGTTCAAATCACCTAGAGAGAGTAAAAATTGAGAGAAGGCAGCCCAGGAGTAAGCCTTTAGGAATTATAATATTTATATTATATAATATTTATTTTTTATAAAATAAAAAATTTATTTTTTATAAAATATTAAAATATAGATATTTATTTAAGATTGTATTTATTTGAGAGAGAGAGAGAGAGAGAGCAAGAGGAGGAACAGAGGGAGAGGGACAAGCAGACTTCACACTGAGTGTGGAGCCCAACTTGGGGCTTGATCCCACAACCTGGAGGTCATGACCTGAGCCGAAATCAAGAGTCAGACACCCAACTGACTGAGCCACCCAGGTGCCCCAGGAATTATAATATTTAGATGTTGGGTACAGAAGGGTCAACCAGCAAATAGATCAAGGAACTGTGATTTCCTCAACAACACAGTGTATTGTGTCTTCGCTGCCGTTCTCTTCTACTCACTTTGACATACTTAAGGGCAGAGATCTCAACACAAAGCACAGAATCTGGCATGTTATTGTTGATGAATTGAATGAGTGAATAAAGGAATTTATTTTAAAGATTTTATTTATTTATTTGAGAGAGAGAGAGAGCCCAAGAGGGGGGAGGGTAAGAGGGAGAAGCAGACTCCTCACTGAGCGGGGACCCCTATGCGGGACTTGATCCTGGGACTCCAGGATCATGACCTGAGCCAAAGGTAGTCGCTTAACCAACTGAGCCACCCAGGAGCCCAGTAAAGGAATTTTTAAAGGAGGAACCTAACTCTTATGCTTTGTACAGATGTATAAGTACTACCTCTCTCATTTGGGTGCTTAATAACAAATAGTGTCTCAAAATTACCTGAAGCAGGGGCACCTGGGTGGCTCAGTCGTTAAGCATCTGCCTTTGGCTCAGGTCGTGATCCCAGGGTCCTGGGATCAAGCCGCGCATCCGGCTCCCTGCTTAGCAGGAAGCCTCCTTCTCCCTCTCACACTCCCCCTGCTTGTGTTCCTTCTCTTGCTGTCTCTCTCTGTCAAATAAATAAATAAAATCTTAAAAAAAAATTTACCTGAAGCATAGTGCTGTACTAATACTGAGATTAGAATTGCCATGTGTTTATTTAGGATAAATGCATTTGCAATGAAAAGTTTTTATACCAGAAACACATTTTTCTGGAAGACTGTGGATTTTGTGATTGTCAGTCTCTTGCTACCTCTACCTATTAGGAAATAGGAATGTAGATTTCCCTGTTTCAAAGGTGGGGCGAAGTCTGTTGATAGAGAGAGCTCCAGGACTGAGGTAGGATGTAAGGTGTCCTGGGCATAACTGGGCCCCTTCTGTGACCAGTGCCTGGGAACACTGGCTGAGAAAAAAAAAAAAATCATTCTGTAGCTTTCCGGAGTCCCAGGAATGAATCACTTCTTCCTTGGCCACTATCTCCCTCTTGATTCAGACCAGCCTTTCTCTCCTTCACTGCACGGGGTCTCTCACACAGTTCCTTTGAAATTATCCAATTTTTTGTTCATTTATTTGTTTTTGACTGTCAACACACAAAGCAAAAACAGAACGAAAAGGCTCACTTTTATATTCTTCCCAGCCCATTTTATTTTTAGCCAGTAGGAGAAAACATGCCACAGGAAATTGCTGCTATCTTAAAGGGTGGCTTTTATATATAAAGAGCTCAAGGAGGTCAAGCATAGTCTTGTTGGGATAATTGCTGTGCAAGTCAGCTAGTGCCAACTAGTGTACCAAAGTATAAGGCAAATTCCTTGAAAGTATGGATTGTGGAGGGGGCTAGGCTCTTCGGGGAAATAATGACAGATGAAAGGAAGTCTGGTTGAGGCCTTGATGATTCACAAAGAAAAGAGGAAGGAGGATATTCCAGCCACATTTCCTACTTCTTGCAAAAAAGCCTTTGGAATTTTTGTTTAGTCAGGCTCAGTAAGAGTTAACATGGAAATGAGTCTACTCAAAAAAGCTAATTCAGGGGCTCCTGGCTGGCTAAGTCAGTAGAGCAGGGTACTCTTGATCTTGGGGTCAAGAGTTGAAGCTCCACGTTGGGCTTAGAGCATACTTAATTTAAAAAAGCGAGTTCAGTCTTAGGCTGCTTTGATAAATGTAAAATGTCTAGAATCCATGATAGAAAATTTTCACTCTGCACTGGTCAAACAACATCTGGAATTCTGGAGTCACACTTTAAGAGGGATGTTGATAAACCATAATAGCCATGGAGGAGAGAGGAATTTTGATAAACCATCTCATTTGAAGGAGGCTGATTTGCTTAATGTGTAAGAGTGTAGACTGGCATCTATACTGGCCTGAGTTCATATCCTGTCTCTGCAGCTTATGAGCCATGCATGAATTTGGCAAGTTAAGTAACTTGATTTATCTTCATCTTCCTATCTGTAGGATGGAGATAAGACTCGTGCTTTTCTCTTAGGATTTTTGTGAGAGTTAAATGAGATCCATGCATGTAAAGATCTTAAGCCAATGCCTAAAACATAATAAGCTCACCGCAAGTGGTAACTTTTATTGACAGGAATAGTTGAAAGAACTGGATAAGTATCATTAAGTTTCAGAAGGGTAACAGAAAAAGAATATGACTTTTTGTGTATGGCTCTGGAGAACAAAAGTTACAAGAATATAACTCAATATAAAAATTTTGTTTCTAAGAATATAAGCTAGCTGACAATAAATTGGGCTACCTCAGAAAGTGATGAGTGCCATCCTCCTCACTCATCTCAGGGTACAACTCGATATTTTTGAGAATATTTGTATATCAAATAAGGTCTGAATTAGATATATGAGATTTTTTCCAAATCCACAATTCTGATCATTCCACAGCTATTTATTGACCTTGATGGATACTATCGAAATATTGTGGGCTCCTGGGTGGCTCAGTTGGTTAAGCGACTGCCTTCGGCTCAGGTCATGATCCTGGAGTCCCGGGATCGAGTCCCACATCGGGCTCCCTGCTCAGCGGGCAGTCTGCTTCTCCCTCTGACACTCTTCCCTCTCGTGCTCTCTATCTCTCATTCTCTCTCTCTCGAATAAATAAATAAAATCTTTAAAAAAAAAAAAAGAAATATTGTGGCTAGAGCAGTGAGCAAAACAGACATGGCCCTTGTCTCTATGGAACTTACCAGTCTATGCATTTATGGTTTTGGTGCCCATCTTTTCCTTGAAATTCCTTTTGGTTCTCCTCCTGCCTCTTTGATCACATCTCCTTTGCCTCCTTCAATTGTGTTTTTTTCTTATTCCTGTCATGTTTGGCGTCTTCCAATCTTCTTTCTCAGGTCTCTTTTCTTTTCCTTGTATACTCTATGCTTTGGCCGTCTCCCCCAGTGTATTTACCTTTACAAACTGGTAGATTTGTCTCCCTAAAAATTTTCAATGCTCAAAAACTCTCAGCAATTCCCCATTGTCTATTGAATAAAAAAACCCTGCTCTGTGAGGCCGTTAGTTGGATATTCCAGTCCATTTCTCCAAACTAATCTCCATTTGGTCCCAACTCCCTACTACTCCCTGTTTTTTCCTTTGATCATTCCCTTGACTTTCTATTCCTCGGGAGAGTCATGTTTGTTCAGATCCATGTACCCAGGAAAACTACATCTCCACCTGAAATTCCCTCCTTTATTAAAGCTCATTGCAAATGCTAGCTTGTTCATGTAGCCTTAAAAGACACCTCCAGGTGGAAGTGAACTTGTCCCCTTCTCTGAACCATCAGGGCCCCATGCCTTTCCTATGGTACCTGTTTTTATCTCCTCACCCTTCCAGTTTATCAATTCTTTGAGATTTGTTGCGGTTATATTTTAATAAAACCTAGTAGAGTGTCTTGCATAATATGAGCATTCAATATTTGGTGACAGATGGATTAGATGATGATATAACTTTATTTTATGGATGATAAATTCCTATGTTCAAACTATTTTTTAAAAAGATTTTACTTATTTGAGAGAGAGAGAGCTCAAGCAGGGGGAGGGGTAGAGGGAGAGACAGAGTCCCCACTGAGCAGGGAACCCGACGAGCTGGAGGACACATGGCTTGATCCCAGGACCCAGGGATCATGCCCTGAGCCAAAGGCAGATGCTTAACCGACTGAGCCACCCAGGCGCCCCTCTTTTCAAACTATTTATCAAGTACCTACTATGTGCTCAGGTACTGTTCTTGGCATTAGGGACAAGGCAATGAATAAAATAGTCTACAATGTATAATATGTCAAATGGTGGGTAAATTCTATGAAGCAAGGTAAGTGAGGGTAAAGAGGTTGGATAGTGAAGGAAGTGATATTTAATATAAGGGGTAAGGTAAGGCTTTTCTGACAGGGTGGCTTTGGACAGGGACAATACATATGAGGGCCTACTAAGCATCAGGATTTACTTAAAATTTGCAAGTTTGAATTGGAAAAAATTTGATTTTTATTTTTAGTCTCATTTTTTTTTACAGTACACACAAATAATTTGAAAATTAAGGTCTCATTGATAATACTATTGGGATTTGTTTCTTTTCTTTCTTTCTTTTTTTTTTTTTGGAGTTTCCAAAGGGATTTGTTTCTTAGAGAAAATCAGTAAGATAAAGAACTCTTGTATTTTTTTTTGTATTTTATTTTTTTACTTAAATTCAATTAGCCAAGGTATAGTACATCATTAGTTTTGTTGTTTTTTTTTTTTTTAAGATTTTATTTATTTATTTGACAGAAAGAGAGACAACGAGAGAGGGAACACAAGCAGGGGGAGTGGGAGAGGGAGAAGCAGGCTTCCTGCTGAGCAGGGAGCCCGATGTGGGGCTCGATCCCAGGACCCTGGGATCATGACCTGAGCTGAAGGCAGATGCTTAACGACTGAGCCACCCAGGTGCCCCAATCATTAATTTTTGATATAATGTTCAATAATTCATTAGTTGATAAAGAACTCTTGAATATCTCTTCTGTAAGTATAGTTGAAAAGATGTTCAAATTGTAATATTTTATTATGATGATTATTATTTAAGTAAACTTTACCCCCAGTGTGGGGCTTGAACTCATGAGATTGAGTTTAAGAGTTGCACGCTCCACTGACTCAGCCAGCCGGGGACCCCCAAATTGTAATTTTTTTTCAAATATTTATTTGAGAGAGAGAAAGAGTGCACAAGCATGAGGGGGAGAGGGAGAAGCAGGCTCCCTGTGAGCAGGGAGTCCCATGTGGGGCTCGATCCCAGGACTCTGGGATCATGACCTGAGCAGAAGGCAGATGCTCAACCGACTGAGCCATCCAGGTGCCCCCTGTAATGTTTTAATAATATATCTTAATGATGTCTTCAAGAGAGTCAGACATTTTTTATAACTATAAGTAGTTTAACTATAAGTAGTTTAACTATAACTAAAATATAAACTATTTTTTAAACTATAATCCAGAGCTGATGGAGCCAAAAGAAGTTTAGACAGAACGCTGGATAAAAGGACACCTCCAATCCCAGAGCCAGATTATCCTCCAACTGTAAGTTTAGGTTGTCTTTTTAAAAAGCTTATCCTTAGACAATTTTAATTTGTAATTATTTTAAGTTGATCTCAATATAACTAGTATTTTTAAGAGAATAATACATATACATAATGCATACATTTAAGTCACTTACAATTTTTATCTTCTTGATTTAATTATGTCTTATTTGTTTGCTTTTGACAGATGACCAGTGAAATTAAAAAGAAAGGAGTGAGTTCAATTTTTTTTTATATTTCTTGTTTTATATTTCTTGTTATATTTCTTGTTTTATATTTCTTGTTGAAATGTTCTTTGGACATTTTCTTTGAAAATGTCCAAAGAAATTATGACAAAGTAGCTCCTTCTAAGACTACCTGCTAATAAGACCCATTCTAGAAGAGGAAGAAATTTAGAAACTGAGATTTTCATTTTCTGTGCCAAAAGGAACAAGCATGTCATGGATGACAGTATGGGTTTTAAGAGTTATATTTTTGTTGCCATTTGTTATTTGAGGATTAGTGGTAAATGTTTTAGTTCTTATTCCAGAAACTGGAAAAAAATTTAAAGTTGCCATTATAAAGGAAATGCATTTTGTTTTTCACTGTTCTAATATTGATACAATAATGATTACTTATTGAGAATCTATAGGGTGCTAGCCACACACTAGATGCTAGATTAAAAAAAAATGGCACTGACTGCATGGACGACAACTTGGGGCTATGGTGTGATTGGTGGGAAGATGATGACACATAACACTTATTTCACAGCAAAGGATATGGAAACCTAGGAGCTGGCTACACAGAAGAGAAATACATACAGCATGTTTCCAGATGGGGGTACAGGCTTTCCAAGTCTCTTCAAGTTCCCTTTGGGGATAGAGGGCTCAGGATACATCCCTGTACTGAGGATCTGTGGAAGAGCCAATTTCAGCTACTCCAAGTTTTCTCTTTCTTTTTTCCTTCCTTCCTTCCTTCCTTCCTTCCTTCCTTCCTTCCTTCCTTCCTTCCTTCCTTCCTTCCTTCCTTCCTTTCTTTCTTTCTTTCTTTCTTTCTTTCTTTCTTTCTTTCTTTCTTTCATTCTTTCTCTTCTTCCTTCACCTCCCTCCCAACCTTTATGGAGACTTTGGCTGTGTATTTGCCTCTTTACTAGGTAATAAGAACTGATATAAAACATTCATAAGTATTTAACATGAGGCTGGGTGAATTGCAAGGCATATTTGTGTGTATGTGCTTAGCATCCTCACTCTTCATCCACCGTTCTTACCTTCTAGTGTCTTACAATCTAAAATAGGTAGCCAGGCATGAAACAGTCATTCACTTTGGAACCCACTGCTTTTGGTAATCTGGCATGAAGGAACCCCACCTCTTCATCATTAGTGTCACCAGTGACCCCTAATTGCCAAATCCAAGGGATGTTTTTTTAATACTGTTTTCACTAGACCTCCAGCTGACTTTTATTTTTTATTTATTTATTTTTAAAATATTTTATTTATTTATTTGATGGAGAGAGAGAGCACGAGCAGAAGCACAAGCAGGGGTAGTGGCAGGCAGAGGGAGAGGGAGAAGCAGGCTCCCTGCTGAGCAGGGAGCCCGATGTGGGGTTCTTTCCCAGGACCCTGGGATCATGACCTGAGCCGAAGGCAGACACTTAACTGACTGAGCCACCCAGGCGCCCCTCCAGCTGACTTTTTAAAAATGTTTTTACTAAAAAATAAAGAATAAATGTTTTTTCTTTTAAATAGTTGGACACATGGATCAGTGGAATAAATGGATGACCCAGAAGTAGACCTACACAAGTACAGCCAACTGATTTTTGACAAAGTGCAAAAATTAATTCAATAGAAGAAGGATACTCTTTTCAACAAATAGAGTGGAGCAATTGGACATCCATTAAAAAAATGAAACAAATAAACAACAACAAAAAAGCCCAAACCTCAGCCTTAACTTCATACCTTGTGCAAAAAATATTGAAATTAAATCATTGATTTAAATGTAAAACATAAAACTATTTTAAAACCTTTTAAAAGACAACACAGGAGAATTATAAAACTATAAACCTTTTAGAAGCAAACCTAGAGCTAAGCAGAGTTTTTAGACATGACACCAAAAACATAATCCATAAAAGAAAAAGCCCCCAAAATTATATTTCACCAAAATTTAAAACTATTGCTCAGTGAAAGACTGTGTTAAGAGGATGAGAAGACAAGCTGCACAATGGGTGAAAATACAAATCACATATCCAACAAAGGACTTATGTCTCAGAGATGTAAAGAACTCTCAAACAATCCAATTAGAAAATGGGTAAAAAGCGTAAATAGACATTTTACCAGAGAGGATATATAGATGGCCAATAAGCACATTTTTAAAAGACATTCAACATCATTAGTCCTTAGGGGAATGCAAATTAAAACCATGATGAGTTATCACTACATACCCACTAGAATGGCTAAAGTAAAGAACAGTGTGATTCTAGCTGACCATTCATTTCCTTTTTATTCCCTTGTATTTATTCTTCTGGTTTTCTTCATGGCTTTGTCTTCCCTGCCTGTGGACCACTGTTCTCCTTCCTTGAATCCCCTGGGATGATTCTCCCCTTTTCTGATTTCAGCTACCTTCTGTATATTGATGACTCTCAGATATTTTTATGCAAAAATACCTCAAGTTCAACATGTCAAAAAAAAAAAACACCTCATCATCAGCTTCTTCCATCAGACTTCTCTTCTTTCTTAGTTTTGATTCTAGTTCTTGTTACCACTATCTATAGAGACACTCATGCTTAAAACATCTGAGTCTTAACTTCTCCTTCCCCCTCACCAACTACCCACCTGTCATACAATTAATCCCCAAGTACTGTGATTATTTCTCCTATTAGCCCTCTTCTTCTCCTAGCCTTAGTTCAGGACTTCATCTCTTGCTTTGCTTGACTACAGTAGACATCAGTGGCTTCCCATACCCATTAAAGCTTAATGTGGCGTGGAAAGCTTTCTGTAGTACGACCCCTGCCTATTCCCCAGCCTCTCCTCTCCCTACACACTGTCATGCTTATGCTTTACCCACATAAACTTGCTTCTTAATCCTTGAGGAAATATGACATTTCTCACTTCACTGCTTTTGTCTCTCATGTCCCTTCATCATCCATTCTTCTTTTCATCTGGCTGTCTCTAGTTCAGCTCAGTCATCACCCCCAGGAAGCCTTACCCTCTCCCTATGGGTTTGGATAAATGACTTTTTCTTTGCTCCTATTATACCCTATTTATTTTTTGTTAATTTACTTAGCACATTGCATTAGGTATTCTCTTGATCTTTTCATGGATTTAAGTGATATATTCCTAGGCTTGAGGCCAGGAATTGCTTCTTAATCATCTTTGTATCCTTAACATCTTTGGTATTGAACACTAGTAGTGGATATTCAATAAATGCTTAATGAATGAATAAATATAAACACTTCAGCTCAGTAAAATATAACAGGTATTGTGATGGAAGTATGAAAAAATATAGTGGGGGCATAAAGTAGGAAGTTTTCCAAAGATGATATCTTTTTGCTAAAGGAAGAATATATACTTTAATTCTAAGCGTCAAATATGTACATATATATATAGACACACATATATATATAATATATATTTTATTGGGCTATAATTGACATGTAACATATTTTTATTTTAGGGGATGAAAGGGTTAAAACACAATAAGTTAAGGATACATAATTAGAATAATGAATTTTAGGCTTTCTGTCACTATAAAATCATATAATTTATTCATGCCTAGTTTTTTATGTAATATTTTAGAGTTTGACCCTGACCTACTTTATAAAACTGCTGTAGATTTGGGGGAATTGAGAAAATATCTTCCTTGCCTGCCTATAATCAAAGCATTTATTCATGAAAAAATTAATAAATGTTTACTATGTACCTGATCCTGTGTTAGATGCTGAAGATTGATAAACAAGATGGACATAGTTTTTGATCTTATGGAGCTTATATACTAATGGGGAAGACATAGTAATCAAGTAAAACAAACAAAATAATGGTGACAAGTACTATGAAAGAAATACAGTGTAATAGGATAGAGAGTGACTGGTCAGAGAGTGAAGCCATATAAAGCAGGTGGTCAGAGAAGGTGTCCCTGAGGCAGTGACATTTTGGAGACCTGAATGGTAGAAAAGAGCCGCCATAGGAAGACCTGGGGATGAGAATTTCCCAGTAGGAGAAACAGTTAAGTTTAAAGTCCCTGAAGGAGTACAGATCCTTTACTTCTTTGGTTAGGTTTATTCCTAGGTATCTTATGGTTTTTGTTGCAATTGTAAATGGGATAGATTTCTTGATTTCTCTTTCTTCTGCCTCATTGTTACGTGCATAGACATGCAACTGACTTCTGTGTGTTGATTTTATATCCTGTGAAACAAAACAGATGAACATAGGGGAAGGGAAGGAAAAATAAAATAAGATGAAAACAGAGAGGGAGTCAAACCATAAGAGACTTTAAAAAAATATTTTATTTATTTATTTGACAGACAGACAGACAGACAGAGAGCACAAGCCAGGGGGGTGGGCAGCAGGCAGAGGGAGAGGGAGAAGCAGTCTCCCCGCTGAGCAGGTAGCTCGACTCAGGTCTTGATCGCAGAACCCTGGGATCATGACCTGAGCCAAAGGCAGATGCTTAACCGACTGAGGCAACCAGGCACCCCATAAGAGACTTTTAACTATAGGAAACAAACTGAGGGCTGCTGGAGGGAAGGTCGGGGGAAGATGGGAAAATTGGGTGATGGGCATTAAGGAGAGCACTTGATGTAATTAGCACTGGGTTTTGTATGCAACTGATGAATCACTAAATTCTACCCCTGAAACTAATAATACAGTATATGTTAACTTGTTAAATTGAATTTAAATAAAAAATAAAAAAAGTAAAGTCCTGAAGGAGAAAATAATTTGGTATGTGCCAGGAACTGAAAGGCCAGCTTGACTAGAGCATACTGAATGAGCTCATGAGAGTACATAAAGTGAACTTGAAGAGAGAGTCAGGGGCCAGATTATGTAGGCCATGGTAAGGAGTTCATTTTACCCAAATTGCAATGGGAAGTCATTGAAGGATTCTACTCATGGGAATATTATAATCTGATTTATATTTTATTGATAAAAAGCCACTTTGACAGTGATGTGAGGGAAAAAAACAACTTTGATACTTTAAAAAATGGATTATGGCCAGGGCAAGAGTAAAAAGCAGGACGAATCA